GTAGCAAAAATACTCAGAGCTGAACAGTCAATAACTAAGATGAATTGCAAGCAGTTGCATGAAATCTCCACAATCTTCTATGAAAGATTTTGCAAGCCAATTTTGTGAGTGGTTGCTGAGTTATGAACCCTCCATTTAATTCAAATATTTAAACAGGTACAAAGCATTTATAAAATGTTGCAGAAATGATGACACATTGAAAAATATATCTGCCACATAATAAACGGATGAGTCCACTGTATAGACTCTGCTCCACAATCTATGTCAAATGTGCCATATTTTTCTTGCCTCATTCATTCAACTAATATTTATTTATATACCAGACACAGAATCATTATTCCCTAGCTAACTGTCTTTTAGGTTACAGATTAGAACTGACTTCCGTTGAAGAACGTTCCCCAGTAGTCGAAACCAAATTAATATTCATCTCCTGGCATTCTGTCCTTACTCCACAAAGGATTTTCCTTCCTTGTTTTAAGTCTCTATCACATCAGCAGATTCCATGACTAGGGAATGTCACTTCTTAACTCAATCACCAAGCCTGAGCCAGGCAATGTGAATGGCATCTCCAGTGAAAGTGCTAGCTTCCAATGTGTTTAGAAAGGTGAAATCACACCAAGCATAAACCTTTGGATAACAGGCTCTTAAACATTCTAGTGCCATGAACCTTTTTAGCAATATGGTGAAGCCTAGGAACATCTTTCTCAGAATAATATATTTTTAAGACAAAGTAAAATACTTGTGATTTTAAAAACTGACATGCAGAATATGTGCTTTTTGTTATATATTAAAATATAGGGTCTACCATAATTTTGAACCATAAGGAATATTGAAAGAATTATATAAATAAGGTAGAAATGATGTGAAAACATCTGTTATTTTTACTGCTCATAAACTCATCAGTACAGCTAATACTCCATTGGTTTATTTTACATATTCATAAGTGAAGGAAATTTTCATCAGAGATTAGAAAAAATAAAGATGTAGTTTTTTTCCTAAGTCGACATACTCTCTGAATTCTATCCATGGACCTCCCAGATCCTAGATAGAAGTTAAGAAGCCTCATTTGAGATTCAAGAAAAAAAATAAAAGAGATCTTAAAACTCATAAAATAGTTCTCATAAAATGATCTTCCCTTCAAGAAATTACAACATTCAATGTAAGATTGACTTAAGAATACAACAGCAGGGGCGCCTGGGTGGCTCAGTTGGTTAAGC